GCGGGCCAGTCTACTTCTGACTCTACGTCTGTGCTACTAGCTAAGGACACTGCTGAGAAAACAAAATCATCTGGTAAGCACAAGTTGCCCTCCTCTCAAAAGTCTCGAGCGCATGATCCAAGCTTGAAGTAAAAACCTAAGCCTGCCCCTAAGAGGCTTAGAAAGGACAGGCTTCCCCGTGTGGATCCCCCTCAGCCTTCTCTGCCTTCCCCCATCCCTGAGGAATCATCTAGAGAAGCCCTTGACTTAGCCTCGGATGGAGATGAAGCCCATGATGTCATGGCCCCCCCATGATGCCGCTCTATGCCGCACCGATGGCCTCTATAGGACCCACGGTGTCGATGCCGAATTCCTCAATAAGCATCCAGTGCCTAACTCTATCATCGTCGAGTCCAGTCAGGCTTGAACCCATGGCAGGTCCAAACCTACCCTTGCCAATAAAGATGGCAGAAAAGTTGACACAATGGCAAAACGAGTTTACTCTGCAAGCTTTTTTGCTCAGAAGTATTAGCTACCAGGCAACTATGGGCACCTTTCAGCGTCATCTTTGGAACCAAGTCCTTCCTCTGATTGACTCAACCCCTGAACCCATGAGATCTGATCTCATCAACATCCATTCACAAGCCATTTCTCTGGCTAAGTACCAGAGGATTGCGGCGTGACACTCCGCTGAGGCCGCTTCTAAAACTCTAGTTACCTCTATTTCTATTTGACGCCATGCCTGGCTCAAATCTCTGATGACTCCAAGTCAAGAATCGAGGACTTGCCCTTTGATGGTGCCGGCCTGTTCAATTCTACAACTGACGATACCATGGAGGACTTCCATAAGAAGCGCAAGACTGCGCGCTCTTATTCTGCTCAGCCATCTACCTCCTATCAACGGCCCTTCTACCGCTCAGGTCAGTTTCACCCCAAGCAACACCAGAATCAAAGGTTCCAGCCTTACAGACAGTATCACCCCCATCAAACCGACAGGTCCCTACCTGCCCCTCAACCTCTGATGGCATCGTACCTGCCTCAAAGCCTACCTCGTCAATGTCAATCCTTTTGTAAAGGACAGCGAAAGGGTAAGCAATATTGACAACTACCTCTGCCTCTTTTTCCTGACATTTCTCTTTGTCCACTGAACTGTACCAGACTGGCCCCATTTTTCCATCGTTGGCAAGCCATTATGTCAGACAAATGGGTTCTATCCATCATAGCGTCTGGCTACCTCATAGAATTCTCCGATTTGCCTCCCTTGGGGTTCATTGGGTACACCCCCTACTCCTCTGCTCTGCAGGATGAGGTTATTAAACTTCTCCAGAAACATGCCATTTTACCGGTCCCTACTATGGACTCCCTCAACGGTTTCCACTCAAAATACTTTACTGTTCCTAAAAAAGATGGAGGCGTCCGCCCCATCCTTGACCTCACTCACCTCAACCGTTTCATATCTCCCCGTAAATTCCACATGCTTACACTGGACTCTATTATCCCTTTGCTTTCGCAGGGAGATTGGTTCATAATTATCGACCTGCAGGATGCCTATTTCCACGTCTCCATTCATCCGGACCACCAAAAATTCCTCAGGTTTCATTTCAACGGCACTGCCTTCCAATTCTGTGCCCTCCCATTCGGGCTCTCTACCGCCCCCCGGACTTTCACCAAGTGCATGGCACTGGTAGCCGCCTTCTTCCGCCTGCAGGGAATAAACATTTATCCCTACATCGACGACTGGTTGATAGTGGCAACATCGTATCACAACGACATAAAGGCATGAGACACAACCCTCCATACGCTTCAAAGTCTCAGTCTCAAGATCAACCTCGAAAAGTCGTACTTGATCCCGAAACAAATGGCAAAGTTCATAAGCATGGAGGTAGACTCCCTCCGCGCAAGAGCTTTCCTGCCTCCAGACAGGATCAGAAAAATTCAAAAGGCTGTCTGCCTTTTCCAGACACATCACTCCGTTTCGGCGCATCACGGCCAACACCTCCTGGGTCTCATGGCATCGACGACGGCCGTCGTCCAATACGCCAGGCTCAAAATGAGGTCCCTGCAGGCATGGTTTCTTTCCCTATTCAATCCAATCACAGATCCTCCATTTGCTCTACTGCCGGTGACACCAGAACTAGCCTCCCAGCTCGACTGGTGGACTTGCCCAGACAACCTCCTCATCTTCCCCCCCCCCCCCGAGACCTTCCATTCAGGTCACAACCAACGCCAGCCTCATGGGATGGGGCACCCACTGCCTTCAACACAAGAACTGCCAGTCCACATAAATCATCTATAACTCTTGGCAATCATCAAAGCGTTCCATGCCTTTCTTCCCCTAATCCAAGGACAGGTAGTGCAGTTGGCAACAGACAACACCACTGCACTCTTTTATGTCAACAAGCAAGGAGGTACCCACTCCCCTTCTCTGCTCTACCTAGCTGTCAACCTCTGGGAGTGGTGCTATTCCCACCATGTTTTCCCTATTGCCGTCCACATTTCCACCGACGACAACACCTTGGCAGACCGGCTCAGTCGGCTACCAATGAGAACACACGAATGGACTCTGAACGATGTCATTTTACAACAGCTGTGCCGACAATGGGGGACACCTTCAATAGACCTCTTTGCATCCGATGCCAACAAGAAATGTTCCCGATTCTGCTCCAGAGAAGGATGGGACAGCACCTCTCTGGGAGACGCATTCCTGATGGACTGGTCCAAAGTTCTCCTTTACATATTTCCCCCTCTGCCTCTCATCCAGAGGGTAATCGTCCACCAACGCGATCCTAATAGCCCCATACTGGCCCCGCCAGCCATGGTTCACTCACCTGGTCTCGATGTCGTCGGACATGCTCCGCCTTCCTCTCCGCCCAGATCTCCTCTCGCTCGACCACGGCCTCGTTCTTCACCCCGATGTCGCTTCTCTCAGTCTTGCAGTTTGGAGGATACTCGCGACGTGATGCAGGTTCTTCTTCGAACCCGAAAACCTTCCACTACTCTCCTATATGAAAATAAATGGAAGTCCTTTCTAAAATATACTCATGACAATGACTTACCTGTTATACCTGTCTCTTTGAAGACCCTACTCACTTACCTCCTGCATCTCTTCAGTTTCAGCCTTTCCCAGTCCACACTAAAGGTCGACCTGTCAGCCATTATGCCCATCAACTGGAAGATTTTTCCTCCTCCAAGTTGTTTTCTCACTCAACTGCCAAGAAGTTCCTTAAAGGGCTCAACAACATTCGCCCTCCCCAACAGCATATCACCCCCCCAGTGGTCACTGCAGCTGGTTCTTAATGCCTTGATGCGGCCTCCATTCGAGCCCATGGCGTCCATCGACCTCAAATTCCTGACCCTTAAATCGGCCTTCCTTGTTGCAATCACGTCAGCCAAACAAGATAGTGAGCTCGCCGCTCTCCAAGTCGATCCTCCCTTTATCCAGTTTCACCCCGATAAAGTGACTCTTTACTTTGACATTTCCTTTCTCTCAAAGGTGGTCTCTGACTTCTACCTCAACCAACCCATCATACTACCTTGCTTCTTCAAATCTCCTTCCTCGTCCCTGGAACATATGCTCCATAACCTCGATGTCAGACGTTCCCTAGCCTTCTATGTCGAAAGGACAAAAACTTTCAGAAAGTCCAATAAACTTTTTCTTTGCTTTCAAGGCCCAAACAATGGGGCCCCAACCTCCTCTCAATCCATAGCACGCTGGATTGTACAGACTATCTCCCTTGCTTACAATTTGTCGGGGAAATCCCCTCCAGAACATTTGACAGCTCATTCCACCAGGGCGCTGTCCACCTCTGCTGCCTTTCAACGTGGCACCGAGGTTCCTGACATCTGTCGTGCCGCTACGTGGTCCACACCGTCTACGTTTGTCAAACACTACCGGATGGACGTCAGAGCACACCAAGATGCTGCATTTGGCAGAGCTGTCCTGTCATCCTTCTTACCATGACGACCCACCAACCGGTAAGTGCAGCTTGCTAGTCACCCATATGTGTGCATTCACAGAGGCCACAAAAAAGAAAAAGAGGTTACTTACCTGTAACCATAGTTCTTTGAGTGGTCATCTATGAATTCACACAACCCGCCCATCCTTCCCCTCTATCCGTCACGGGTTAATTACAGTGGGGTCTTGACTTGCAAACTTAATCCATATTGGAAGGCGGTTCTCAAGTCAAAAAGTTCTCAAGTCAAATCTGCATTTCCCATAGGAATGCGGGGATATTTTGTTTCTTTTTTTTCTTAGGTCAAGAAAGGTTCAGGGAAGGCCGGGAAAATACAGTCCAGGCAGTACAGTACCAGGCAGTCCGAAGACTGTTTCCTAATCCACTCTCTAAACGCTGGGAGGAGTGAGGAAGCAGACAGGCACCCTTTTCACTGGCCAACAGTTAACTGAAAGTTCAAATTTTGCACTTTCCCTGCCTCCCATGTGGTTTTTTTCAGTTCTTAACTCAAATCTAAGTACTTAAGTCAAGTCAATATTTTCCTATGAGAGCGGTTCTTAAGTCAAAATGTTCTTAACTCAAGCCGTTCTTAAGTCAAGACCCCACTGTACGTAATTAGTTAATTCTTTCCTTCATACCCGGCAGATAAAATTCAGGAACTGGGGAAGATTGTGAGTGGGAGGAGCATGTACCTCGTGGAGGATCACACTATAAAATTGTTACTTTTAGCTCTAGAATCTTCCGAGAGAGTCAGAGCAGGCGCAGACAATACCCATATGTGTGAATTCACAGAGGACCACTCAAAGAACTATGGTTACAGGTAAGTAACCTCTTTTTTCTTTGTTGTCAGTTCTAGAAGGTGCTGTAAGTCTGAATAGAATTGGTCAATTTCAGCCTCTTCAGCATCGGTGGTTGGTGCATAAACTTAGATTACTGTGATGTTGAAAGGTCTGCCTTGGATTCTTATTGAATTAATTCTATAATTTTTCAGATTGTATCCCAGTACAGCTTTTCCCACTCTTTCATTGACTATGAGGTCTACTCCATTTTTTCTATGGGATTCTTGCCCACAGTAGTAGATATGATAATTGTCTGAATTGAATTCACCCATTCCCGTCCATTTTAGTTCACTGACGCCCAGGATGCCAATGTTTATTCTTGCCATCTCCTGTTTGACCACATCCAGCTTACTAAGGTTCATAAATCTTACATTCCAGGTTCCTATGCAGTATTTGCAGCATTGGGTTTTCCTTACACTTCCAGGGCGCGTCCGCAGCTGAGCATCCTTTTGGCTTTGGCTCAACCATGTCATTAGCTCTGGAGCTACTTGTCCTTGTCCTCCGCTCTTCCTCAGACGCCTTCCAACCTGAGGCGCTCATCTTCCAGCATCATATCTTTTAGCCTTTTTTTTTCTGTCCATGGAGTTTTCTTGGCAAAGATACTGGAGTGGCTTGCCAGTTCCTGCTCCAGGTGGATCACGTTTAGTCAGAACTCTCCACTATGACCTGTCCGTCTTGGGTGTCCCTGCTCAGCATAGCCCATAGCTTCTCTGAATTACTCAAGCCCCTTCACCACGACAAGGCAGCAAGCCTTGAAGGGGCTGCCTTTTCCAGAAAGTATATATTACTAAATCTTACTGTGATTTTTACCTTAAAATCTAACCACAAATGTGTGGGTTCACATGAACTGAATTCACAGTGAACATATGCTGAAAAGGTAAACAACATATTTTCCTGATGAGATTTAATACGTGCATAGTGAAAAAACATAAATATCTTTTGATAAACATTTTCCCTGCAGAAAAAGCAGAATGAATGTCATAAAATAATTCATGGCAGGTCAATTGTGTTTTGAAAGACAACTTCTGAATGTTTTGTAGTTCTGTGCTGGAAAATAAGGAAATGGCTATGATAGCTATACTTCAAGACTTGGAGAATGAAAAATGTAAGGAAAAAGAACTTCAGAATATGTTGGATGAACAGATACATCAGCATAAGAGAAGAGAAGATGAGAAGTCAAAAGCAATAGAGGTAAAATATTTCATGAAAAGTATAGCTCTCACTATTTATATAGTTATTTATTTGTTTGTTTGTTTGTTTGTTTATTTATTTATTTATTTAAAATATTTTTACTCTGCCCATCTCCTTAAAAAGGACCCAAAATGACTTACATAATTAAAGACAGAATACAAACATTAAGAAGCTAAAAACAGTAAGTGTACAAATATTTTAAAAGAATTAAACAAATATTTATTTATTTACTTATTTACTTATTTTTACCCCACCTTTCTGCTTAAAAAGAGATATTAAAGCTAACAACAATGAGTATGCAAATACTGAAAACACATTTAAAAGCAACAGGACACAACAATCTATATTAAAAAACACTCTCAGAGAGCCATTCACTAAGGGAACACCTGCCTGAAAGGAAAGGTCTTTGTCAGCTTGCAGAAGAACAGCAAAGAAGGGGCCAGCCTAGCTTCCCGTGGGAGGGAGTTCCCAGGTCTGGGAGCATCTCCTGCATCCCCACCAAAGGCACCTGTGAAGGTGGTGGGACCGAGGTTATGGCCTTCCCTTAACACCCAGGCAGACTCATATAGGAAGAATTAATCCTTGAAATAGCTTGGACCTGAGCCATTTAGAGCTTTATAGGTTAAAACCAGCAGTTTGAATTGTGCCCGTAAAGGGATTGTCGCCTGTGGAACTGCTATAACAGGAGGGTTATGTGACACACCCCCTATAATCAACTGGAGCATTTGGACCTGCTAAAGTTCTTAGTGGCCTCTGTGAATTGCATTCTGGGTGATCTGTGCATGCGCAGAGCCTCATTAAAACCTTCTAGAGCTTCTGCAGTTAGAAAAAGAAACATTAGTATAGCCCTCTCCCCGTCACTATATGTACCTTGGCGCCAAGGCTCTCCATTTTCTCTTCAATCACCACATTGAGAGCCTCATTCGTTCTTCTCTCCGAGCTTCTGTGAGTTATTTCTGTTGGAGAGAAACAAGAAAGGACTTTTATTCCCCCCTTTTACTGTTTTTACTTCACCTATCATCCTTTTTCCCTTTACTCTTTTCAACACTGGCTTCAGCCTTTGGATCAGGGTTGTTCCCCCTCCCCATTCCTTCAGGCCCATTTAAACATTGCACAAATTGCAATAATAAAATCCCCCTCTCCAACTGCCACACCAAGTGCCTATTCTGTCTAAGAGAGGCCCGCCAAACATCATCTTGTCCCAACAGCAAAAAATTCAGATATGGGGTTCTCCATAGTTGTCTTTCTAGACTTAAGCTTCGGCTTTGAGAAGAATCTTTCCAGCCAGGAAAACCAATCAGTTTTCCTGGCGCCATCACGCATCCACTCTGTAGACTGGTGTTCCAGGCTAAAGCCATGGACAAGGCCGTCTTGGAGACAGTAAAGCAGTGGCCATCAGCCAGCCCTTCCCATGCTGACGAACAAGAAACTACATTGACATCAGCCCCAGCCCCTGGTTCACGACCTCCCAAGATCTTGACTTCAGCATTGATAGGCTTAAGCCCAAAGCTGTCAGCAACCAACCAACTAACCAATCCTCTGCTACAAATTCTCACCCGCCTAAGAAAGCTAAATCTTTGAAGGCAAAATCCTCCAAGGCCATATTGACACCAACTCCACAACCACCTGAGTCAGAAGACCTAGTTTGAGTTGGATCGTTTTCAGATAACAATGCCCCTCCAGCCCATCAACCGTTTCCTCACCCCTCCCAGTCCCCCAATTGGGAGCACCATACGGACCACCTGGCTGCCTTGCCACACAGCCCTCCTCTATTTTCTTGATTCCCTAGTTTTCCATAAATAAATGAACACATGCAAATTAAGCTGGGTTGCTAACAAAATAGTTTTTGCAACAGGCAATGTCATTTTTGGGTTTGTGATCTCCATTCCAGATGATAGGGAGGGTCCAGTTCGATTGACATAGGAAGACTGCCTAAGCTTCTCAAGTCCTGCCATGCCTGGCATCTGTGTAGAAGGGACCTTGCTAAGATCCTGTGCTCTTGGATGTTTTGTTGTTCTTAATTGTGGTTTCTGTGAAACAAAAAAGGGTGTCTTGCACCTGTGCAGTGGCATGCTTGTAATTTTCTAGAGTGGAGTACTGTTCATGAGAAACTTTTGTGCTGTTTTCCCCACAAAAGCTGTTGGTGTAAGTTAGCAGAGTTTTGTTTCAGTCCAGGCAGTCCAGTTGAATGACACAGACAAAGACAGCTTCTTCCTTCACCAAATGTATTTACAATATATACAGAAGTTCAGCAGTTCAAACCGGCTGCATGACAGCATGACATTCATGGAAGAGATCCATACATCTTCTCCACAGGTCCACACAGTCATACACATGCACATTTACATACAGCCAATCATTGTGGACATTGCATCATCCCAGACTGCATGATTCAGCATTTTGCACACCTTTCAAGTATGGCTGCTGATTATCATAGGCCTTGTTCTACCTCAGTGTCAAATTATCCTTGACAAAAGCTAGAAATGAATTTTTCCTGTCAGATAAATCCTTTTATAGAGAAGGACAAGTCCCAGCATATTGACCTTTCTGTTACCCTGGGCCAGTTTTAGCTGCTGCAGGCTAGAGGAAGCTTTGAGAACTATCACTTTATGTGGGTTAGATAGATACTGTCAGGAGTTCCAGGGAAGCTGCAAACTGTTTTGATGACTTGGCCAGGACAGGGATGACTTAATTCATGCTCATCAGAAACGCTTATCTCTCCACCTCTAATGACCTCCCCTGGCTTGTTCAGGTGGCATACCTGGAGACAGCAAGCTCAGTAACTCACTTCCCTCAGAGCCAAACACCAGCTCTGCAGGGCAGAATACTTAACCACTGAACTATGTAGCTGAACAAGAAGTCAGAACTGGTTGGGACCAACTGTCTTCATGCACATTCCCAAGAAAGACACCGCATGTGGAGATTTTATTTTATTAGAAGGATTTTAAAAATGCCATATTAAAAGGGAAAATACTTTTAGAAAAAAATAAGCTAGATTAGATAATAAACAAAACAAACAGTTTGAGGGAAAACATTACAGAAAAAATAACAAAGCTCTCAACAGCGACTTTCAGTAGTGGTAGACAGATTCCTGAGCTAACAGAGTGCCATTATCTATAACATGATGGGATGATATTCAAAAACGTGAAGCCCATTTTAGCCTTGCACTGGTCTATTATTATTGTTGACTTTCTCCTCCTTTCTCTTGCCTGCTGGACTTGTTAGTGATAAGACACATATCTCCTGGTGGCTAAGGCTTCTTTACTTATAAACAAAATGCTGCCTTTGAGATCTATACAGAAACTCCAGATCGGGGGTCTCAAACATGCGGCCCGGGGGCCATTTGCGGCCCGCCAGATGATAGTTTGCGGCCCCTGCCTTGCCTGCCCTCCTGAAGGGCCCACATGTCCTCTGCTGTCAAGAGTAAAAAAAAGCCTCACCTCGCTCACCGGCTCTCTCCCAAGACAGCGCCTCTTGCACCCTCTATCCAGAACTGCAGCCTGCCGGTCAGCCCGCCTGTCTGCCAGCTGGCAGGCAGCAGTTCCGGATGGAGGGTGCAAGAGGCGCTGTCTTGGGGGAGAGCCGGCGAGTGAGGCGCGTTGCCGGCCCTTTCCCCTGAGCCGCTGCCGAGCGGTGCCTGAGAGTAGAGCTCACTCCCGGCCCATCCTCGAAAAGCACCTCCAAGCCCGGACAAGGACATAACTTGTTAATTTAAGAAAGATGGGAGAAGAGAAAGAGAGGAAGAGATGGACGGAGACACAGCCCGGACGACTGCCAGAACGCAGCATGAATTTCAGCAGAGAAAAAAAAGCTACTAAAGGACTCTTATTTTTCTAATTAACCGTAAGATAAAATCCTATTTAGAAATGTAGTTAGATTGGTTGTTATTTTCGTTTTTATAGAGGAAATGTTTGTTGGTATCAGCTGGGGTAATTTGGAAATGATTATTTGTGTAAAGATTGGCTTATCTAAATGTGTTTCAAATTAATCTCTATCTTTTTAATAAAATATAAAAAGGCTGTTTGTCTGTACGTTGGCTTCTTGAATAGACCGTCAAGCTACTCTAGTTAATTGGCTACTTTAAAATTGATTTATTTAATCAGGCCACACGCATGCTACCAATTTAGGGTCCTACATATAAGATAAAGAAGAGTAAATCTTCTAGAATTACTGGAGATTGTTTATAGAAAAATCGGAGCCGACTTGGGAGAAAGGGTGAAAAGTTGCCTAGGGTAAAATTAAAGGACCCAGTTTTACCTGAGTAGGAACTAATCATCCTGGACCCTCTCTGTTCCGTGTAAAAGTAGTTTCTTAGGAAACTGCCTTTGTAACCTTTGTGAGGTAGAAGGAGGTTGTTACAGGCACATTTGGTGGGAACTCAAGGACTTGACAGAGGTCCCTTTCAGTGGCCACATCCAGGCTGTGGAAGTCACACAGATGAATAGGTTGCTTCTCTCCCACCCCCACCCCTTTGCCAGCAGTCAGAGAACTTTCTCTTCAAGTGACCTTCTAGCTATTGAACAGGCTGAAAAGGAAGGTGTTTTAACAGGGGATGCTGAACTTTTCCTGTTTAAAACTCATTTTAGAAATAGTTTTAAATTTCATAGTCTTTCAATGTTATACACTGTAATTCATTTTTAAAATGAATTATCTGCCATAATCCCCCTCTCCGCCATTTTATAAGCTCAATTGTGAGGAAGGTGGAATGGAAATATTATAAACAAACAAACAAATACACAGTATTTGCATAGTATATATAGCAGTAGTGGTGGTAAACTAAAGTAAAATTATGTCTCTACCTTGTCTTCTTCATGTGGTACTTTGCTGAAGTAATCCTTCAGTGATTGTACTGAATCAAGCAAGATTAGCCTCTCTCTTTGCCATGCCTCTATTGAAAGAGTCTTCTGAATATTTTTCTTATCACCATCAGGAGTTTGAGATTTTTCTGACAAAACCAGTATTTTGTGACTTTCTTCATATACCATATCAAGCACATGCTGAAAGAGAACAAAAGGTTAACTATTAACTATAGATAACTCAGATTCATCATAACATTTCAAATTTGAATTGGTTCTTTTGTCTTGCAGTTTGCAAATAATGAAATAATGGCTTGGATATTAAGGACAGGTTACTTACCTATAACTGTGGTTCTTCAAGTGATATTCTGTGAATTCACATATGTGGGCGTTTATGCACCTGCACAAAGCCCATCAGAATATTCTAGAGCAATTTGAGGAGTTTTATTAACCTGGTTTATGAGAGGTGTGGTAATGATTTTTAAAGGTAAAATGTCTGGTAGATTGGAGATTTAGTGTAAAAGTGAGACACTATAACTGTTTTTATTTGTTCCTTTCACAAACTGATAAAAGAGAAGTATGATGACCAAATGAAAAAAAAGGATGACTCTCCTGGTCAAACCTCAAACATACCTAAACTCATAAATCAAGATCCTTTAAAAATGCAATGCAGGATACGCAAACTAACTAAGAACAGATTTTAGAGCCAGAATTGAAAGTAACAATCAGAAGATAGACACCTTCACACAAGTAGTCAAGAAAGTGGAACAGAAATTAACAAAAGTGGACAAGAAATACAAAATATTAAAGAAGAAAAAGATAAGGATCAACAATGTCATTTGACCTTAGAAATGGACAGAGCCTTATATTTTCTTAGAATACAGAATGTGGAACAAGAATCAAAAGATCTACAGAAATTGATATCAGAAGAATTAGCACACAAACAGAGATAACTCAAGAAGAACTGCGCGAATCAATAGAGAGAACAATAGAGAGAATTTAGAGAGTGGGGAATGCTTTCACAAGGAAAAATAAGCTACTGAAGGAAATCCACATAAAATTTTTAAGATCAGTGAAGAGAAAATACTGAAAGTTAACAGAGAAAAGGATCTGACAGTCGGAGGGACTAAGATTAATGTCCTGAAACAGGTGCCTTGGAGCATGCGGGGGCAAAAAGACAAGAATACTCTTTTCTTACTAAAGTATTAATAGACAGGAAAATTCTGTTAACATGGCAAACACCTGAAGGAGTTTTTCTGAACTGGGAGACAAGAAGATATAATCCGAATAACAAAATGAAGGCCAGGAATTCATGAAAGAAATGAAACATAAAGTGAAGCTGGAAGAAGATCTACAGTTTTCCAGTGAGGAATCAGAAGAGGAACAAGAATAAGTAGAATGTAAAAGACAAACACCATCAACAAGAAGAACTAGAGGCAAGGAAGCTAAGGATAAAACTGGTAGTAAAAGCCATGCAGATGTCCAAACAAATTAAATTACTATCAGTGAAAAAGGGATGAATTCACCCCAGAAAAGAAGTAAATTTTTAATAAACTTTTTAAAGCCAAAGTAGAAATTATATCTATTCAAGAGACCCATATTAAGGAAATGGACAAAAAGTTGCTAGAAAATCCAAAATTGCGTAATGTCTTTGTAGCCTCCACTCAACAAAAGAAGAAAGGGGTAGCAATGTACATAAAAAAGGAGCTAGAACCGAAATTAGTATGTGCATCAACAAATGGAAGAATATTAATAGTGGAAGTTTCTAAAGAGGGAGAAGAAATATTGCTGGTGAACATTTATGTGCCAAATGAAACGCAATTTTTTAAAATCAACAATTGAAGAACCTGCTGATACAAAGGCCAGAAAAGAAAATGTGTATTTTGGGGGATTTTAACACAATAATTGATAAACAAAAATACACTTCAATGACAGATGGAAATGGGAAGAAAAGGGCAAGAAATATGATCCCCAAGGTGTTTTTGGAAATGGCAGAAAAACTAAATTGATGTATGGAGAACCAGGTACCCTCAGATAAGAAATTATACATTTTATTCAAACAGACACAATTCATGGCCAAGCATAGGTAGCTGCTGGATCTCAGCAGAAGTGACACATCAAGTAGAAGAAACTGAATACAGTGGTGCCCTGCATAGTGACGATAATCCATTCCACAAAAATCATCGCTATCCGGATTCGTCGCTATGCGAAATAAAAAAAAGCCCATAGGAATGCATTAAAACCCGTTTAATGCGTTCCTATGGGAAAAAACTCACCGTTATGCGAACATCCTCCATACGGCCACCATTTTCGCTGCCCGGTAAGTGAGGAATGGGCGCGAAAACACAGCGGGTGGCCATTTTTTCCGGCGGCCATTTTGGAACCACCGATCAGCTGTTTTTAAAACATCGCTATACAATAATCGGTAAGCGAAACAGCTTACCGATCATCGCAAAGCGATTTTTTACCATTGGAAACATCGCAATGCAATCGCTTTTGCAATCACAAAAGCCAAATCGCTATGCGGATTCGTCGTTAAACTGAGCACTCGTTAAGCGAGGCACCACTGTACATAAGCATATCACAACCCAATAATGATGACTCTAGGACAAGTGGTAAGAAGAGGAGGTTGGAAACTAAACAGCCACTTATTGAGAGATGAGGCCTTTTTGATTAAAATTAAAAAAGAATTAGAAGTTTTCTTTCAGATTAATAAACCCCACTCGCACTCATCTTTATTTTCAGGGCACCCGGGAATGAAAAAGATTTTGCAAAGGGTTGCCCAACCTTTTTATTGACCAAACGTGGTGAAGTCAGTGAGGGATTTTGTTTCTTCTTGTGACACATGCCATAAGACTGACAAGACCAAGGCACGTATCCAACCGACCCCTATAATAGGTGAAGTTTTTAGTTGTCTTCAAATGGATGTTTTGGGACCTTTTTGCCATCAAAATCACAGAAACATCTCGTTATAACTTTTGTCTCTATTACCAGCAAGTGGACCGAAGCCTAAGCTCTCTCCTCTATATCCACAAATGCGATTGCTAAAGTATTTTTGGAACTACATTGGTGCCTCGCTTAGCGATTGCTCCGTTTTACGACGAAATCGCTTAGCGATGACTTTTTCGGAGCGTTTTTGCACTCCGTTTAGCGATGGTTCCTATGGGTGATTTTCGCTTAGTGATGTTGGGACCATGCTTCGCATAGCGATTAAATTTTGGGTCCCCGTTTCGCATTGCGATGGTTTTAACAGCCCAGGGGTCGTGCTTCGCTTGAATGGCGTTTTAACGGTAGCTGTTTCGCAATGCAACTGCCTCCAAGGTGTTTTTCCCTGTTGCTGTTTTCTTTCAAATTTAAACAGTCAATACCCAGGATGCATTGTGCCTTGTGCAGGGAAGGTTTAAAAACCTTAAGCCTTCTCTGGCTCTCTCTCTTGGCACCCCCAGCACCAGCCCGGCCAGCGGCCACCTCAGCACCCAGTGGTGTTTCCTCCTCCTCCTCTTCGCCCTGCTTCAGCCGCCTCGGCTCTGGAGGCTGCCTGGATTCGCCTCGCAAAGTTTGCTCCTGTCGTGGTGGGGGTAGCTGCTGCTGCTGAGTGCACCTTTTTGGAGGGGGGCCCTCAGAGGAAGGTTGTGGACC